ATTTGTGAGATGAAAGGAACAACTTTTGTAATCAGACAATATTCCTGTTGAGATTACTGTGCAATATCTTTATTTAGTTTTTATTACAATATTTATTATAGACTCATTTTTCACGAAAGCTCAGAACTACCTGTGTTTTAACAAGTTGAAGAGCACTTTTAATCTCCCTTCTGTAATGCCATTAAAAGGATGTCTGCATCATAAGTTCACATTCTATAAGCTTGTCTGCCTGTGTCATTGAACACCTGCCCATGATACTGTGCCATGCAATCAACAGCGATGAGAGAAAGAGCTGGAGGGACGGCCTCCAGAAGTGATTCTGTAGCGGCTGATTCATATCCTGAGCAATGAAAATTCTTTCTCCTCCTCCTCTTCCCCTTTCTCCTACTTCATTATTTCACCCATTTGTTATATATCCACCTTCTAGAAATGCATGTATATGTAGTTATTTCTACCCATCATTTCCAAGTCTCCTTGCAGAGTCACTGTGCCTGCCCTGCTCATACCTCCTTATAAGGGAATCTACTTCCCCTCCTGCCAAGGGGCCTGTGTTTGGTGTCACATGACCCCACTTCAACCTTTCTCCCACTCATCCCGGTTGATAAAACCAAGGCCGTGAGGCTGACCCGAAGACAGTGAATCCATAGGCTGACCGAAGTCTGGGATTTGTGCAGCCTAATTAAAAATATTAGCTTGGCCAATAACACTGTCTTGGGAATTTAATCTAAGTGTGGAAAGGCTCTGTTAATTTTCAGTAGCAACTGAAGCAGAGAGGATAGAATATTGAATTGAGATTTTTAGCCTGGGGTCTGTGAACCCATTTAAATTAGGTGTGAAATTTTGGGTTTATGTGTATAGATAGCATGAACTGCTTTGCAAATTTGAGGTACGCGTGAGATCACATCTCTTATTCACCAATTACTTGCTCCATTCCTTAGCCAAAATTTCATGACCACCCTCTTAAGTCTCCCTCGGCCCCTGAGTGATCATGAACCCTGAGCTTCCACAATCCTGAAGGACCCTGTCCACTTCCCACACCCAAGCCAAAAAAACTCTGGAAACTGGGGCTGGAGCTGTGGCATAGCAGGTTAAGCTATGCCAGTTCAAGACCCAGCTGCTCTGCTTCTGATCCAGCTCTCTGCTATGGCCTGGGAAAGCAGCAGAGGTTGACCCAAGTGCTTGGTGCTCTGCATCCATGTGGGAGACCTAGAAGAATCTCCCGGCTCCTGGCTTTGGCCAGGCCCACCCCAACCATTTCAGCTATTTCGGCTGTGAACCAGCAGCTGGAAGTACCTCTCTCTCTCTCTCTCTCCCTCTGTAACTCCACCTTTCAAATAAATAAAATAAATGTTAAAAAAAAGACGAAAACTTTGGAAACTGATGAAGCCCCTGCTACTGATGTTCCCTAGTGCCACATGGAATCTTGGTCAAAGCCCTGTCCCTGTAGTCAGCAGCAGATGCCATTGTTGTCCTGTGTTATGACACCTGTATGGTTCCTGGAGCAGGGGCAGTGCTTAGAGCCAGGTCAAGTTCTCTGTGCTCCATGGTCATTGCAGAGCTGAGTCAGTGCCCCTTCTGGGGTCTGGTGCAGTGAAGACCTGTAGCCTTGTCCTTCTATCTTCCAGGGACGTGTGCCTATAGCTGGCTCTTGAAGAAAAGCATCCTTTTCCACCCCATCCATCCCCATCACAGGGACACTTGGGCTTTACTTGCTCTTGGATGTGAAGCTCAGAGTGAGACCAGTCCTCTCTCTCCTGCCCCTTCTCTTTGTAAGGGAGGCAAAGCTTCATGAATCCAAGGTGGGTTCTGGACACTCCTCTCAACAGCACAGGAGGAAAAAAAAGAAAAGAAAAACCAGCAGGAAAATTGAATTTTTAGTTAAACATTTGCTACCTTTACATTTGTCTGAGAGGAGGTCCTTTGGTTGGATGGGATTTTCAGGGGCATTCAAGGCTCAGAAATAGATGATAGAGAGTGAAGAACCATTAGCAGAGAGAGCAACTCAGAGTCCCTGAGGCCACCTGTGAGCTGGAGTCAGTGAGTGAGAAGGGCAAGGACAGAGAGAAGCAGGCCTGGAGTATAAGGAGTGAAGCGAGAAGGTGCACACGAGGCTGAGCTGCACGGACATCGTGTTGAGTAAGTAAAGCATAGCAACTACGATGGCCCATTCATATATAACTAAAATCAGGCAAAATTAATGTACAGTAGACAAGTCAGTAGAGTGGTTTGGGGGTTTCTGTGAGACAGGGAGGGAAGTGCTGCGCAGGTGCTGGAGGCCTGAGCAAGCTGGTGAAGGTTGCAGGCTTGGAAGTCACGGGTCTCTGTAACAACTCAAGAAGCCACGGACAAGACACAGACAATGGGCTTGCCTGTGTTGGGGTAAAACTGTTTTTGGTGCAGGCTGGATTTGACCTAGGGCCCTTAGCTTGCTGACTGCTGATCTATTTCTTTCGTGTGTGTGTGTGTGTGTGTGTGTGTGAAAGACAGAGAGAGAGAGAGAGAGAGAGAGAGAGAGAGAGAGCGCCAACCAAACAAAAAAAGAAACTCATGTGCTATTTCACTCCCCACATACCCACAACTGCCAGGACTGGGTCAGGCCTGAAACCAGAGTTTGAAAACTTAATCCAGGTCTCTCACATGGGTGTCAGGAATTCAATTACTTGAGCCGTCACCACTGCTTTCCAGGGCCTGCAGTAGCAGGATGTTGTAGTCAGGAGCTGGAGCAGGTCTTGAACCCAGGCACTTTGTTATGAGACATAGGCATTTTTTAAAGTTAATTAAATTCATTTTAATTTATTTTTTTAATTTGAGAGACAAAGTCAGAGACAGAGAGACCCTCCATTTTCAAATTTACTTCCCAAACACCCACTACATCCTGGGCTAGGCCAGGCCAAAACCAGGAGCCTGGAATGTAGTCCAGGTTTTTCACATGGGTGACAAGGTCTCAGCTACTTGAGCCATCACCTGCTTCCTCCCCAGATGCACCTTAGCAGGAAGCTGGACTGGAAGTTAGAGCCAGGACTCAAATCCAGGCATTACTATATGGGATATAGAATTGCAAGTGTCAATGCCTGCCCCAAGGTGAGCATCTGAACCATTGGGCCTGTTACCTGCCCCATGATCTGCATCATGGTATGGGTAGTAGTTACATGGGTGTGTCTGTGTGTGTACAACTTGACTGAGGTATCCATGAATGATTTAAGTACTCTGTTGTACGTAAATTATAGCTCAGTTAAAGGTAGGGTGCAGGGGACTCATAAGGGGTAAAGTTAAAGAAAAAGCTTCAGGTAGTAAGTGGTTCCTGCATCGAACTGGATGCTGGAATCCAGAACTGATCAGAGCTTCCACTCTTGGGAGGCCTGGGGATACTATATGGGGCTTTACATCTCCCCCTTTACCCTGTTCCTTGCTACTTAGAAGGCTCCCAGAATACCTGATTGCCACTGGGTAGGGTGGCTAAAACCATGGTCCTTGGATGATGAGACCAGGCTCCTTGAAGTTAGATAGCCTGCACGGGGTCACCCCACTCAGCACAAATATCCCTTGCCTCACGCCTACATCCACCCATGTGTCTCGTCCTCTCTGAGAAAAGTCCATCTTGTGCTAGACAGCAGGAAAGATTTGATTCGGCCTCACCCCACTGTTATCTCACTGATGGCTGCCCTTTGCATTCTCATGTTCCGGCTGGTCGGCGATTGTTTGTTCTTAGTGTTCAACTTGACAGGACGTGGGGAAAAACACACAGCCAAGGTCAGGGAGCAGCAAGCTGTCTCCTCCATTAAGTCTGTCTTTGTCTTTAGACGGCACCAATCAAAAGAATCACCTGCACGTTTTCTTGGAGCGTTAGGCCTGGCTGCTGAGGGTTGTCCCTGAGCTCTCCTCCCACATCTGGGAGCTTCTGCTTAGCCATATCCAGTCTCACTGGCCCCAGAATGAGGATGGAAGAGAGAAAAAAGATCCTTGCCCTGAGCTCTCACCCTTAGGGGTTCCCCAAATTAACTTATTAGGCAAGAAGTGAAAAAGGAAAAGCAACGATTTTTCTGGGCACTTGAAGCCTCAAGGCATGAGCCAGAAGCAGGGGCTGTGTGGTTTTGCTTCTCTTTCAATTCTCTATGATTTAGAGGACTCAACTTGTGTGAGAAATGCAGCACCATTACCTTGCTACTTGACAGCTAAGTGGTGAGAAAGGCCTTCAAGTAGTTAAGGAGGAGGTTTGAGGGCTGCACACGCTGGGTCTCACAGGGTCCACTCATGCAGGAAACAGAGAGCATTGAGAGTGATGAACATCTCAGGCAGGACCACCCTCAGGCACTTGCCTCTTCTGCCCTCCATGTTAGTTTCTGATGCCCATGGTGAAGAAAGCACACCAAATAGGGCTGGCCTTTGGCCTGGCAGTTAAGATATGCACATCTTATATTGGAATGCTTAGCTTCAGGTGCTTGTCCCACTCTACATTCTGGTCCCCTGCTAAGCAGACCCTGGGAGTGTGAGCACTCAAGTTGTTTGGTGTCTGCCACCCAGATGGGAGACTTGGGTTGAATTCCTGGCTCCTGGCCTAGCCCAGGTCATTGCAGGTATTTGGAGAGTAAAGTAGCAGATGGTAGCTTACCCTCTCTGTCTCTTTCAGTAAGTTAAAAATTATAAAATTAAAATTGGAATTAAAAATTCAACCACGGGCCGGCGCCGCAGCTCACTAGGCTAATCCTCCGCCTAGCGGCGCCGGCACACCGGGTTCTAGTCCCGGTTGGGGCACCGGATTCTGTCCCGGTTGCCCCCCTTCCAGTCCAGCTCTCTGCTGTGGCCAGGGAGTGCAGTGGAGGATGACCCAGGTGCTTGGGCCCTGCACCCCATGGGAGACCAGGAAAAGCACCTGGCTCCTGGCTCCTGCCATCGGATCAGCGCGGTGCGCCGGCCGCAGCGCGCCAGCCGCGGCGGCCATTGGAGGGTGAACCAACGGCAAAGGAAGACCTTTCTCTCTGTCTCTCTCTCTCTCTCTCTCACTGTCCACTCTGCCTGTCAAAAAAAAAAAAAAAAAAATTCAACCACGGCTGGCACCGTGGCTTACTAGGCTAATCCTCTGCCTGCGGTGCTGTTATTCCGGGTTCTAGTCCCAGTTGGGGTACCAGTTCTGTCCCAGTTGCTCCTCTTCTAGTCCAGCTCTTTGCTGTGGCCCAGGAGAGCAGTGGAGGATGGCCCAAGTGCTTGGGCCCTGCACCTGCATGGGAGACCAGGATAAGCACCTGGCTCCTGGCTTCAGATTGGTGCAGCGTGCCAGCTGTAGTGGCCATTTGAGGGGTGAACCAACAGAAAAGGAAGACCTTTCTCTCTGTCTCTCTCTCTCTCAGTCTAACTCTGCCTGTCAAAAAACAACAACAACAAAACTCAACCACATAAATTTATTGCCTGACCTCGTCAGAGACTGAACTGGGTCTCACAGGGCTAAAATCAAGGTATAGGCAAGGCTTCTTTCCTTTATGGAAGCTCTATGGAGAATCTGTTTCCTGGTTCCTTTTCAGCTTCCAGAGGCTGCCAGCAACACTTAATTTGTGGTCTTTGCTCCAACTCCAAAGCCAGCAATGTTGCAACTCTCTGTACCTCTCTTCCTTAGCCACATCTTCTTCCTACTAACTCTCCTTCCAGTTTTAATGGTCTTTGTGATTACACTGGGCCTATCTAGATAGGAGCAGTTAGCAATTTCAATTCCATCTACAATTTCCTTTGCCTTATAGCCCTAATATATTCTCAGGTTCGAGGGATCAGGACACGGACATCTGTGGGGAACATTCTTGTGTCTGTCACTCCTCATAGCAATTTAGTACATTCCTATTCTCATCTGGAAAATGGGAGTGATAGTACCACTGTCTAGTGTTGTTGTGACAGCCAAATGGGGTGAGTATAAATCCTTGGGGCCAGTCTGCAGGCCCATGTCAGAGGTATGGAGGCTGATCTCGACGTGTCCTTCAGCATCTGTGCAGTGCTTGCTCTTGGTTCTCACAAGCACATCCCTTGAAGCTGAGCTGGGCTGCGCCTGTCCTACTTCTCATTAGGCTGCAGGTGCCTGGTCTTTACCTGGGACAATCTTACCAGTCAAATATCGGTAAAATTGAAAAACAACCAAGCAGTGAGCATAGCACAATGTACACAGGACTTTGGGTCAAGCATTTCAGTGTCTATGGTCGAACACTCTATGTGGACTCTGAATTTTTGGTAGGGGCTGATTAAGATGCTATTTGGGATGACTGCATCTTGTATTGGCTCCACTTCTGATTCCAACTTCCTGTTATGCACACTCTAATAAGCAGCAGGTGATGGTTCAGGTATTTGAGTCCCTGCAACCTGCTCTTAGGAAACCCATATGGAGTTCCCAGTTCCCACTTTTAGCCTGTCCTAGCTCTGGCTGTTTCAGGGCTTTAGAGAATAAATAAGTAGACAGGAGATACTGTCTGTCTATCTCTCTGCCTTTCAAATACAATCAATTAATTAATAAAAATAAATTTTAGATAGGGTCTAATTCAAAGGCTTTTTCTGAGAACCTCGTGTAAATCCTATTGTTATTCTCATCATCATAAATAGTTACTGGCTTTTTCCAGATATTGTCATCATTCCTGCCTCACCCCCAGGAACACAGTTAGGAATGTGAGGCAACTCTCTCATAAATCTGTATCTTCATATCTGTGCTGTCTGCTTTGGTGGCCAAATTGAAAGCATACTCCTCAATCTCACTAGCCACTTGTCAGTGGCTCGCAACCACTTAGGGCTAGTTGCTACCATATTGTTCAACACAAATATAGGACATCTCCATCATCACAGAAAGTTCTACCAGACAAGCCTGGACTAAACTGTGAGTCCTTCCCCTCCATGTCTTTGAAAGTATTCCAGAAAAATATTCCAAAAACACCGTGTAGAGAATTTTGGGGATGCCAGAGATCCCACAGAACATAGTTTAGGTTAAATAATCCCAGATACACCTACCAAACTGACTAGAAATAGGGATAAAAGTGAACATTGTTGCTGTGAGAACCGTGACTTAGTTTATAGAGACCGTTGACTTGGGGGCTATGCATTACTTCTTACAGATATGCCCGCTCTCGGATAGTCGCAGCAGTTTGGCACAAGAGGGATTGTGTCATAGAAAACAGCCATGTTTAACTTTTTGGGGAAAATGACCAAATAGTCAAGTCCAGCAGCATCTCAGAAGCAGGCATGGGGAGGCAGAAACCAGCCAGCTCTGAGAGAAGTTAGCAAAAGCAAGCCTGAGAGCTGCTTGGCTTAAGTCTGCTATCATGCGCAGAGCTGGGCAGTGACCATGTGTCATCACGGGGCCTCCTTGAGGAGGAAAAGGCAGGCCTGGCGTCAGATGCAATAAGCATCCTGGCTTCCCTGGGAAATCAGGTCTGAAATGTCCTGCTGGCCAGCCCGCTGCCCTCTTCCTGTGGCTGCAGCTCTGCCCGGGGGGAGGTGAGGGTGAGAACCATGGCAGACACACTGTAGTTCAGGGTAGCCACTAGAAAGGTCCCAGGCGATCAATGACAAGTCCCATTTATGCTGCTTTTAAAAATATGCTTGCCATTTTATTGGCATGGTTTGTACTACTGGTGTAGATTGTCATAAAGAAAATGGCTGTTGGTTGTTCTTTAATGTGGAATAATAATCCCTACCTAACAATCATAATTATAACTGAAGGATACATGACAAGCTCTGGCACTGAGTATGGCCTGTACCAAACAGTTAGGAAATGTTAGTTTGAATAAGAAACATTATACATATTTGGTAGTAAATAATATCTTTTAGCAATCTTCATCAATATTAATGATTTTGATTTAATCAATAATGCATGACTGATAGATTTATAATATTTAAATAAAAATTAGATTAACAAGACAATAATTTAATACTGTTATTAAATTCAGCAAAATACTAATAGTATTTTATTCATCCCACAAATATCTGTGGAGCACCCACTTCGTGTTAAATTCTATTTTATGCCTTGTAGTAGCAGGTGAATGAGGTCCTTGACCTCAGGAAATTCATACTATACCTGAGTGGAGGGAAACTGCATAGTAAGATAATTACAGTTAGTGATCCATGCTAGGAAGAGTGATTAATGATGGGGGGTGGGGGAGGAGCTGCCTATTTCACTAGCTATTTCCTTAGAGTGGCCAGGAAATTTCCCATCTGAGAAGTGTACATTTGCCTAACCCCTGTGGTTTGTAGCATGCCACCATTCAATCATGCTGTTGTAGGGCTACAGCAGGCAAAGACAAAAGGGTAAGGGGTGGATCTGTGCTCCAATAAAACTTTATGGACACTAGAATTTGTATTTTATATAATTTTTATGTATAAATATAATCTTTATTGTTTTCCAATGATTTGAAAATATCACAGGGTTAACTTAGCCCTTGGCTGTGCAGATTTGTGCTCTAGACTAACCAGGATTGAGCCATCACCACTGTCGTCTTCCAAGGTCTGCATTATCAGGAAGCTGGAGTCAGGAGCTGGAGCTGGACACAAAACCTAGATAATCTGATATTGGACACAGTCTCCTTTACCATTGTCCTAACCACTCAGACAAATACCTGCATGGGGAAAAGTTAACTTTATTTGGAAAAGAATGCAGAGAATATAAAGCTTAAGAATGCTGAATTTCTTTGGGGGTACCATAACAAATATTGCAACCTAGGCTTGAAATAATGTAAATTTTTTTCTCCTGTACTTTTGGAAGCCAGAGCTCTGAAATTAGGTTGCCTTCAGGGTGTACTCTTGGGAGGCTCTGCAGGAGAATCTTCTAGTTTGTGGTGGTTTCCTTGACTTCCTCCATGATGGCTGACTTGTGGCCATGGTGCTCCAATCTCTGTCTCCACTTTCGTATTTTGTCTCCGTATGTCTCTTTGTGTCTAATGAATCTTGGCCTCTCTCTTCTGCTGTCATTCTCCTTGAGTTTATCCTACTTGGAGTTCATTGAGCAACTTTCATCTATAGAGTCGTGGCTTTTTCCATCAGTGTTGGGAAATTTTCAGCCATTACTTCTTCAGACACTCTACCACCCTCCTTCCCTGTTTCTCCTTCCTCCTTCAACCCCCCATCCCCCACCATTCTGTTTTGGCCTTCAAATATGCATATGAGTAGATTAAGTCATGTCACCAGAATTAAAAATGTTTGTGCTCAAAGGATCCATCAAAAAAGTGAAAAGAATTCACAAAAGAGAAAAATATTTCAAATTTTATATTTGATATGACATATTTAATGAGTGTATAAAGAACCCTTACAAATTAATAATAAAAAGACAAATAGCCTAATGGGGTATAAGCAAAGAATATAAATAGATATTTCTTCAAAAATGGCCAGTAAGCACATGAATAGATACTCACATTATTAGCTATTGGAAATACAAATTCAGACCTCTATGACATGGCATTTCACACCCTTTATGATGCTGATAGGCAAAATGACAAAGGTGGGTGAGGATGTGAAGAAATTGGAACACTCCTACTCTACTGGTGAGACTATAAAATGATACAGCCACTTTGGAAAATAGACTGGCAGTTCTAAAACACGTTTATAAACATGAAGTTACTATATGGCCCGGCTATCCAACTCCTGGATACATAACTTGTTCACAAATAATCAAAAGCAACATTAATGATAGTTAAAGAATGAAACTAACTCAAATGTCAATCAACAGATGAATGGATACACAAAGCATAGTGTATTCATAGATCAGGATATTATTCAGCCATGATAGGAGGTAGTAATACATACCACAATTTTGTTAATGAATGAAAAAGATCAACCAGGTCACAAAAGACCATCCATCCAGCATAAAGTGATTTCATTTGTATGAAATGGCCACAGTAGGCAAATATATAGAGATAGAAAATAGATTAGAAGTTGCCAAGGGCTATGAGGTTGGGAGAACTGAGAAATGATTGCTGAGAAGTGTTTCTTTTCAGGGTGATGGAAATGTAGTAAAATCAATGGTGGTGATGATTGTGTGACTCTGTGAACTTGTACACTTGAAGTGAGTGAACCCTATGGCAGGTGGATTCTATCTCAATTAGGCTGTTATTTTAAAAAATGAAATTGGAAATGTGGCAGGGAAGGGTAAACAGATCCTACAGGATCTTGCAAGTTTCACGGGGTGTTTAGTTTTACTTCAGGTGAGCCAGAAGACCTTGGAAGTTTGGGGGGCAGAAAGCAAAATAATCTGATTTATGTTATTAAAAATATCACTTCTTCCTTTCTCATATTAAGGATATTGTTTTCAGGGTGACTCTCCTGTCAACTCTGTGGTTTGGGTGGAGTGCATTCATCAAATGCCAGCTCTGTAACCTCCAGAATACCAATGCTGTGAAACACTCACACACTGCAAGTCCAGGGGTAAGCCAGGGTACAAGGAGATCTGCAAAAGTGCCCACCAGAGCCTCTTCCTGCCTGCTGTGGTGGTGGCTAGATGGCTGTGCCATGTGCCCCGCTTTCACATAGCTTCGTGAGCGGTGAACAGGCAATCCCGCCAGACAGGCAGACCTCTGCCATTTGCTCCTTTGTCTGACCGTGATCATGGAAAAGCAAATCCCCTACTGCCACATGAGCCATTCCCCAGGTGAGGTTGCTCCAGAGTGTAGGCTGGCTCTGTTCTTCAGGACTAGCGCGCCCCTAGAATCTGCTGTGTATCCTCAGCCACTCCTGGGTCTTCAGTAACGCCCATTAGCAGTAATCCTTAAAAATGCCTGAGTGCTCCTAAAGAAACTTTTCCTCTGTGTGTGGCAACAGAGGCTCGCACGGCTTTTATCCGGGAGGTCTGGCGCGCCCACCCAGGAAGGAAGCAGGCATCTCCTTCTGCAGTTAACCTGTCTCCTGACATCATTTGTTGGCAGTCTTGGATGACATTTGTTCTGGGAACTGGCTGCATGTTCTCAAAAAGATAAGGACTTTCCTTCTAGATAGATTGATGACAATGAGATCATGACATGAGAAGCTGGGGTTGTGATAGTGAAACCCAGCTCCGAAAGGGTAGGCCAGAGGTCAGATGCTCAAATGCCGTCAGGGCTGTAGCGATAAGGGAACAGCTGTGGCTCCTGTCTGTGAAGGCAGCTGTGAGCCATGGTTACTCGAGCAGTGTAACTCGGTGGTGGCTCTGTTGCATTTCAACTTAAAATTGTTAGGTGGAATACTAATGGAACTAAATCAGTTGTGGACTCACAGACCTCTAATTTGCAAACCCCAGGACAGAGTTGAGAAATCACCTTTAACCTTGAGATTATTTTTCAGATGGCTGAAGCCCCTAAGTGTATTCTCCCATCCCAAGCACCCAGGAAATGGAGGCAATTTCTGCAGATAGGGTTTTGTCTATAGATATTGATTCAGCCATCTTGTTGTAAGTAAGGAGTGCTTGTGGCCTTCAGGTGATCTATGACTTTGGAGGGGCCATGAGGATGGTGACGATCCTGTTCTCCATGCACCAGGCACTGGACTAAGCACTTTTTATGTTCTTTATATGCTTATATCTATTTCATCCTCATTAAATAGATACCACTAGAATTCTTACATTTAACTGAGACGGTAACTGATAGTCAAAGAGATTAAACGACTTGTCTAAAGTCACAGAACTTTATAGCTTTCAAAATTCTCCAAGGAAAAATATTTACCAGGACACTCTGTTCTTTAGGAATAATTTCTTTTTTATACACACACACACACGCACGTATATATTTGAAAGCTGGAGCAACAGACAGAGAGATGGAGGGGAGAAAGAGGGAGAGAGAGAGATCCATCTTCCATTTGCTAGTTTAATCCCCAAATGGCTATAACAACCAGGGCTGGGCCAGGTTGCAGTCAGGAGTCAGAAATTCCATCCTTGGGGATGGCACTGTGGCGCAGCGGGTTAATGCCCTGGCCTGAAGCACCTGCATCCTATATGGGTGCCAGTTCGAGACCTGGCTGCTCCGCTTCTGATCCAGCTCTCTGTTACGGTCTGGAAAAGCAGTAGAAGATGGCCCAAGTCCTTGGGCCCCTGCACCCATGTGGAAGACCCAGAGGAAGCTCCTGGCTCCTGGCTCCTTGGCTTCGGATCAGCGCAGCTCTGGCTGTTGCAGCCAATTGGGGAGTGAACCATTGGATGGAAGACCTCTCTCTCTCTCTCTCTCTCTCTCTCTCTGCTTCTCCTCTCTCTGTGTAACTCTGACTTTCAAATAAATAAATAAATAAATATTCCATCCTGGTCTCTCACATGGAGGGCAGGGGTCCGTGTACTTAGGCCATCCTTTGTTTCTGTCCCAGGAACATTACAGGGAAGCTGGATCAGAAGTTGAGTAGCCAGGACTTGAATCAGTACTCTAAGAAAGCAGAAGCTTAACTGGCTGTGCAACAATGCATGCCCCTAGTATCAATTTATCATGTGGATTTCAAAAATTTACATGCATATTCATTGATTTACATGAATTTCAGTTAAGTTTTCCATGCATGCCCATGGTTGTAAACATTTTTTGAAACATGCCTTTAAGGCTGGTAGGGATGGTAAAAAGACAGTGAAACAAGGGGAAGAATAGGGATTCTGTACTAGAACTGAACCTTCTAAATGTTTGTCTAAAATCAGGGTCAGGAAGCTATGGCCTATGGGACAAGTCTGGCCTGTCACTTGATTTTATAATCACAGTTCTGTGGAAACACAGCCACATCCATCCATTATGTGCTAGTTATGGCTGCTTTCTCCTAATAATGGCAGAGTTGAGGGGTCGCGACAAGACTGCATTCTCCTCAAAGTGAAAACTAACTTATCATCTGACCCTTTATGGAAAAAGTTTGTTAGCCTTTGGTCTAAAAAAAAACTGATATTATAAGCATAAGACATCTATCATTTCCACAAATCCTACGATTTCTCTGGCTATGTTTTTTCCCAGGTTTAGCCAATGAAGCAAATCACTAGGGCAAATAAATGCTTTAATGAAATTCCTATTTTGCTCCACTCTTCTCTGTTTAGGAGGAACCAATGTTGGTGAGGGCCAAACCATTTCCCCAGGTCGCAGAGTCATCTGGGGAGAACAATAAATAATAATGGTATCGGTCATCCCAAAACAGCTTAGTTTTTTCTGAGTATTTAAACACCATGCCCAGTGCTTTGCATGCAGCAAATCTTGGAATCCTCATGATTACCTTCCAAGGTCATTACCATTATTACCCACATCTGATGGATGAGGAAGCTGGGGCCTTCACAAGGAAGCTTCCCAGAATCACCCAGGCTATGATCCCAAAAGGAAAGACCTTTAATCAAAGCATCTTGGATGAGAGCTTCACATGCAGGCCCTGCTCAGGGCAGTGATGAGCTGGAGAAACAGGTGTGGCTACTGGGGAGGAAGATGAGTTGTTTGTGGCCATCGTCACAGAGGAAAAGCGAGGTAGGGTATCCGGAGAGCTGCATGGCCAGGAATCATCCACCATGCTGAAGTCTTGCTCAGCCCATTCCTGCCTGATTGCTCCTGGCCTGCTGGGCCCATGAAGGCTCATGCCAGCCTGCTCCACCCAGGATGGAGACCACCTCCCGACGTCAGTTCCCAAAAGCAGGGCCTCAGAACCAGATTACTGGGTTGGAACATGTCTCCCAGGTGATTCTCATGTAAACAAATCTTGGGAGCCCCTGGGTAGAGGCTGAAAGGTTTTATCTGGAGAAGACCCAGTAGAGATGGGGGTCGGTCTTCACGGCCAGGGAAAGGCTGAGTGCGGCTGTCTCCGTGAAAACAGGATCATGGTGAGTGACTGAGTTCTGCTATCCAAGTGGGGAATGGGAACATTGGGGAGGAGGTGAGAAAGGAAAGGCGACACCTCTTCTATCCCTAAGATTACTGTTGCTGTGATGGGGTAGACTTAGCAATGTCTGCTTTCCCCCCAAAGAAGTCCGTGCCCTAATACCTGGAACCTAGAGATGTGTTGTCTTAGAGAGCAAGGTGATTTTGTAGATATGATTAAGTTCATTACAGATAATCAAAGGGGGAGCTGACTTGTGGTGGACCTATTAGGCAGACCCATTAAGGTAGCAAATCTTCATTGGCTGAATTTGGAGAGAAGCCCCACAGTAAGGAAAGGCTGGAGGGATTCACAGTATGAGAGGGAGTCTGCCGACATTGTTGGTTTAAGAAACAGAAAGGAGCCAGCAGCTTAGAAATGTGGGTGGCTTGCAGCAGATAGAACAACACCCAACTGACAGCCAGCCAGGGCATGAGGACCTTCGTCTTAAAACAAGAAGGAACAGGATTCTGCCAACAATTTGAGCAAGCCTAGATTCGGTCCTAGAGCTTCCAGGACAGCCCAGCCTTGGGGACAACCCTGATCTTGGTCAGTGTAAGCTTCAGGGCACCTCTGACAACTGTAAGGTCCTACACTTGTGTTGTTTTTAGCCGCCAACTTTGTGCCTACATGTTGTGACAACAATAGATAACTAATACATCTTATGGATGAAATGTGCTGGTTTGCAGTTTGTGAGAAAGAGGTTCAGGTGGAAGGAATTATGGGGGAAAGTAGGGAGAAGAGTTGCTTGATTGAGTCCCTTGTAAAGAATACGAGATAAAAGTCGTCAGACTTGTTCCCTGTTACCTTTTCCTAGCTAATCTCCATGTAATCCCTAAAACAAGAATGGCCCTGAGACAAGGTGTTAAGAAGGCAGCTTTCCCAGGCTTGCTCTGAAATGTCTGTGAAAGAGAGGAGCCCTTTTAGACTATGCGGAGTCGTGCCAGCACTCAGAGCCTTCTTCCTTGTTGGCATTAGACATTTTAGCCCTGGTCACGCTAGTGTGGACTGTTTTTATCTCATGGTAGAGTCTGCATTTCGCAGAGCCATGGCTTGAGCCTCTAAGGGTCTGAGTGTGTCCTCCTTGTTGTGCATAATCAGCAGCAGCTTGAAGGGTGGACGTGGGGGGGGGATGTGGGGGATGTGAGCGAGTTGCTTGTGCTTTTTGATTCCTACTCTCATCTCCACCCCAGTCCTCAGGAGTTATTCTTAAAGTGATTGCCTTTGTTTGTTGTCTGCGCTGTGTTTATCATGCTGTGTTCCTTTTCCAAGTGGGGAAGAAATGTATTCTTTAATTTATGAGGATGTAATACTATAATAGTACATTCCTTTGTCTGAATTGTATTCTTAACTATTACCTTGGTCTGTCCTTTAATTGAATTGGATAGAGACAGCACATTGCAATTGTTAAGGTTAACGACCCAATGATTTACAAGACAAGGCACATTACTGGCAAATAGATTTTAGTAATTGTTCCACTCCACAGTGAGAATAACAGTGTGTGCATTGATTCACTGTCCTGAAGGTAGGGCTTTGCCCAGAGAAGACAGGGCCCCTGTCCTGTGGAGGCTACCAAGGGGAATGCCTAGGATTGAGGAGATTCCAGGCCTGTTAAGCTCTTCTTGCTAAGAGTGATTTTGCTCAGGAAAGCCCTCAGGTGCCCTCAGGTGGAGTGAATGTTTTAAAGATGCTGACGACTCAGAAGTGCTGCAGGTGACAGAATTAAAAACAAAGAAAAACACTCAAACTAATACAGGTTACTTTTCTCCAGCTCTCTTGAATTCTGATTGACAAATTGAAAGTGTCTGTATTTAGGGTGGACAAGGGTCAGTAGTACTCCATTGGATACGAATATTGCATTTTCTCTATCTACTCATCTGCCAGTACACACGTAAGTAGTTTTCCTGTCTCAGCTATTATGAATAAAGCTTCAGTGAGCATGGACACGCAGATCCACACATAGGGTTTTTGTTCTAATGAAAATGAGTTGTGCATGATCCTCTGGACATTTCCAATGGAGGATTCCGTTTGGCCTTTTTAACAAGAAGGAATACATAAAGGAAGAAATATCTGCTACAGTGGTTAGATCTGTTAAAAAAGTTCTCTGATTGTGTTTGGGTCCCCATGTAGTTGTGATTCTCAGGTTGACCAAATCTGTTAGCTGGGATCCTTTTGTCTCAGTGTGATTTGAGAGCCATGGAATCATGTATGGAAACCTGGCCACTCCAAACATATCTCAATGAGAACATGCCATTTTATTTTCTTAAACACTGAAGACTATTGGCAAGAGACCTCAAGTTTTCTGTCAAAGGCATCTCCAATTATACTCAACTGTGACAATAGCTCAGATGGGGAAAGCAAAGAGGATTGGATGGAGGATGCTGGAGGGTGAGCCTGTGAGGGCATCACCCCAGAGCTGCTTAATGCCATGCATTCCGTAGGGCTTTGAAGTTCAGTAACCACCTGGGACCAGTAACCACCTGGGTCCTGGTTCTCTTAAGTCTGTGTTGTCTTTGGAGAAAGTTACTGGATGACTCAAGATGGAAGTAGAGCAAGGCAGCAAGCCTATTACTGCCTTTTCTAAGGGTGTATATCATTTCACATGTAGGTATAACTGATCTAGAGTTCATATACGATAGGTATGGGAAAGGGGAGCCAAGTTACAGAGAAAAAGACCAGCAAATCATTGCCCCTGTGAGAAATGTGTGAACTGACATGGGGCCCTCCCTCTGTCTCTCTGGCCTCCGTTTTCATTCATAAAGTGAGAGTAGCATAGTTCCATTTTTATAGGACTGTTAATTAAATGACATAATGTGCACAAAATCCCTAATGCAGTGCCTGCCACATGGGAGGTTTTCAAAGTAAATAAGTGATTTTTTTACTGCTGGAGCTGTAATGCGGGCAGCCCTTTGTGGAGAGCGCTGGGATCCCGGGCAGGAAGATTGACTTTTAGCTGTGTATGACTGTAGTGCAGGGACTGCAGATTCCTTATTTTGTCCTCATGTCTTGCTAAGTATGCTGAATGTTGACAATGCACACATGTAGTACTTTATACTTTTCAAACTATTTCATGCTTTTGGTCTTCTTTAGACTGTTGGGGAACTTTGAAGAAGCAAATGAGCCTGTATGCGTTTGGAGAATGGAGTTTGAGCCATGTCTTGGAAGCTCTGCTGGGGCGTTGAGGTGAGATAGGATGAAATTCAGAAGTTTCCTCAGCCACTCAGAGGCCAGCCATCAGCCAAGATGGTAACTTTTGAAGGTGGAAGTCAAATAATATGTAGAACATCTAACTGAATTTGCAATTTGTATATACAACAAATTGTTTTTTAGTATGACTATGTCCCCAATATTGCAAGGAACATACATGCTACAAATCAATCTTAACTGGGTATTGTGGGTTTTTATTTGCTAAATCTGGCAGCCTTAAGTAGGGAGCATTGCTGTTATATCTTCAAGTTGGAATTGTGTTGCAGCATATTATTGCATAAATTGCCTTTATAGATAGCACGAGGTCCAGTCAGTTGTTTTGGTGAAAGTGGACATTGAGAGTCAGAGGTTCAGAGTGATTGAGGATAGAAACTGGAAGATCTCTGATTTTGTCTTCTTGCTAACATTTCTATGTACAAAAATACACAGCCAACTTTTCAGTGTCCTTTTCTTGGAGCGGTAGGGACCCCTACCACACTGGCCATCACCTTATATTGAGTGAGCGTCATGTGCAGATGACCTGGCTGACCCTGGACACCAGCTGAATATCTGGACACCTAGGGAGGTAACCCAGGTCTGCAATCCTCAGGATGCAAAAAGCATCCTCCTACATTGTAGTGGAATGCCATAAGGTGGGTGTCTGACCTTTGAGGGCCTCTGTTGAAATGGCAGTCTTGTCAATGCATTCAGTTACTATGGTGATAGGGACCAGGGAAGTAGATAAAAGAACTGAAATCATTCGATGAAAAAACACGACGAAGGGGAAGGCGAGAGTCACTGATGAGGAAAGCCATTGCCATTTGCTCACATCTGGAGGGGCTGAAGGCGTAAATGCAGAGAAGAAGAAAGGGTCCCTTGGGAGAGACAAGAGGTACAACAAGACTTCATATCAGAATATTTCTTCTAAAATGAGGACTCTTCAACTGAGAAAGGGCTCCCACGGGCCTCTTAGATTGATGAAGTGTCCCATTCCTGGAGTCATTTAAAACCAGGACTGAACGACGCAATTGAGAGTGGACTGCAGGGAGCACTCCCCCAGAAATCTCGTGGGATGGACTTGGTAATCTGGCAGTTCTTTCCCTTCCCCCGGAGCCTGTGAATCACTGGTTCATTTGAAAACATGATGGTTAAAACTCTCAGGGAACCAGAACCTGAGAATTTAATTGAAAGTAATTTTTATACAACTGACGCATAGAGTAGACTTTCATTGTGGTGTATGTATTTTTTTTTTTAAAACTCCAGGATAAAGTGAGCAACTGGTCTGAAAATCCTTACCAGGCCAAAGCTCTGTTTCCACCTTGATGAGCTGTTACTGTTCCTAACCCCTAGTTTCAAATTATTTTTATGTGACACTTGGTTGATTATGTCTATTTGACTTTATTTTTCTAACTAAACAGTCTTTTTGGGAAATAGATCTCCTGGCTTACTGCAAATCTCTAAGTAAACATCCAAACTATCTCTGCGCTATAAAAACACCTCCTCCACGGTGTCATCTGAGGCATGAAAATTGCCCTCCCGGTGCTGGATGCCAAGCCTGGTTGACCTTACCAATTTTCCTGCTGCAAATCTGAAAAACAAACCCAGCTGTTCTGGAGAAACATCAGGCGTAGGCACACATTAGATAAATGTTCATGTTTTTCTTTCATCACCGTAGCCTCACAGGAGATGAATTACATAAGCCCTCTACGTGTTAACAGGCCTTGATTGCCATCTCATTATTTTTTTACATTACTTCTAATATTCCTGGTAATAGATTTTTTTAAGGCAATTTTGGTAGCAGCTATTATCATTTGCTTTGTGTCATGCTTGTCTTCCACACAACGAATTACCTACTATTCTTGATTCTGATCTTTCTTCTTCAACTCTCTTCCATCTACTCTCACCTCTTCAACCCATTAGCACTGCCATATGACCCCAGACTCTCCATCTCTTGCTGAATATGTGCAGCCATATTAAGCTTCCCAAATCAGAACCTTGGTCCTATTGCTCTCCTGCTCAAACATGCTGAATAGCTCCCTGTTTGCAGTGAAGCTTTCCCACACATTAGTCATAGCACCTCCATTATCTTTGCAAGTTCCCCTTCCATCTCTGCTCCTGTTACTTTATATTTATCTTTCAGTGGCCTCACTGGAAAAAAAATCACTTAAACCCCTATTCTGAAAGAAAACTTTACCTCTAACTAAATGGAAGACACATAGCATCTATCATAATAAAAGCAAAACAGTAAAACTGTAATGAACACAAAAGTGTGACCTTCTACATGTTAGTAATGTGTAAGGCTCTAAGCCTGAGGCCTGATCACTCTGTGTTTGCACAGGTAGTGACTATTCAGTTATCTTGAATTTGACCCTCTAGATCCATTTTACTCCCTGCCCCTCACTTTATGCCCAGGAGGCCCAGACCTATGGAGCAGTCAGTGGGCTCCCTTACCTTTTAGGTTTCCAGTGGAGTTCAGCCTATGAGAACTCAAGAGAACTCAGAATCAAGGAAAATATAGACCTAGGGGTTCATTCCCTCATCTTCCCCAACTCCAGCCCTGTCCTACCCCTAGCATTACTTTATTTATTTATTTATTTATTTTATTTAATGAACATAAATTTCCAAAGTACAGCTTATGGATTACAATAGCTCCCCCCCCATAACTTCCCTCCCACCCACAACGCTCCCCTCTCCCACTCCCTCTCCCCTTCCTTTCACATCAAGATTAATTTTCAATTATCTTTATATACAGAAGATCAGTTTAGCATATATTAGGTAAAGATTTCCACAGTTTGCACCCACACAGAAACACAAAGTATAAAATACTATTTGAGTACTAGTTATAGCATTGATTAAACACCTAAGAGTAATTGTGTATTAATTACAGAGTTCAACCAATAGTTTTAAGTAGAACATAAAAAATTACTAAAAGGGTAAAGTATTAAGTTTTTCTTTTTCTTTCTTTTTGTTATATAGGTTTTTTTATTTAATAAATATGAATTTACGAAGTGCAACTTTTGTATTGTTGTGGCTCCCCCCCAGCCTCCCTCCCTCCCGTAGCCCTTCCCTCTCCCACTCCCTCTCCCATCCCTCCCTTCATCAAGTTTCATTTTCAGTTACCTTCATATACTGAAGATCAACTTAGTATATACTAAGCAGGGATTTCAACAGGCTGCACTCACACAACCGAACCAGGTATAGGGTATTGTTCGACTAGTAGTGTTGTTTTTAAGTTTCATAGTTAAACACATTAAGGACAGAGATCCTTCATGGGGAGCATGTGCACAGTGACTCCCGTTGTTGATTTAACAATTGACACTCTTATTTAAGACTTCAGTAATCACCTGAGGTTCTTGTCATGAGCTGTCCAGGCTATGGAAGCCCCTTGAGTTCACCAACTCTGAACGTGTTTAGTCAAGGCCGTATCACAGTGGAGGTTCCTTCCTCCCTTCAGAGAAAGGCGCCTCTCTCCTTGATGGCCTGTTCCTTCTGCTGGGGTCTTGTTCACCAGGATCTTTCATTTAGATTGTGTTTTGCCACCATGTCATGGCTTTCCATGCCTGTGAGACTCTAATGGACTTTTTAGTCAGATCCGAATGTCCCAAGGGTTGATTCTGAGGCAGGAGTGCTGTTTGGAGTGTTTGCCATTCTATGAGTCTGCTGTGTGTCCTGCTTCCCCCGCAGGATCATTCCCTCCCTTTTAATTCTATCCTTCATTATTTGCTTACACTGGTCTTATTTGTGAAATCTCTTCGACACTTACCCTATCTTTTTAATCGTTTGTGTATTTATACTTATCACTTTACTAATTGCTCTGGCATTGGTACCTGCCTCCTTGGTAAGACTGAGTTGAAATCCCCTGGCACATTTCTAGTTCCACCGTTGGAGGTAAGTCCGAGTGAGCATGTGCCGTCCTATATATCTCCTCCCTCTCTTATTCCCACTCCTATGTTTAACTGAGATCAATTTTCTGTTAATTTTAAACGCCTAAGAATGATTGTGCATTGATTGCAGAGTTCAACCAGTGGTCTTATGTAGAAGAAACAGAACAACAACAACAACAACAAAAATACTAAAGGAATAAAATAGGAAGTTGTTCCTCAACAGTCTAGCCAAGGGCTGATCATGTCATTGTCTCTCATAGTGTCCATTTCACTTCAGTGCTACCCCTAGCATTACCATGGCCTAGTTTTATCCCTGATCCAAAGATTATTATTCATTTTAAGGAAGCTTATCCTAAAAAGCTCTTCAATTGTTCCTTAAAACCTAGGAATGGTAGCAACTATGCCTCTGCCAACCCTGGGTCACCACACCAGCTTTCTGGTTCCTCTACACACACACGTTCAATTGTTTCTTTGTGACATAATTGTTTATCCTACATTGACACTCATTAATTTCCTGTGGACACTCTGATTAATATGATTTTTATGGATTAGATGTTTTCATGGGTTAGATAGGATTTAGCACCCCAAACTCATGCATAAGTTGAAACCTTGATTGTTAAAAATTGATGGATTAAGAATGAGAACTTGATCTAATTATGGCATATAGGATGTGGGCTTGGTGGGAGGTGTTTAGGTCATTAGGTTCTTACCTTCAGGAACGAGATCTTGCAAGAGAGTCAATTGTGTAAGCAGGTTGTGTAAGCTTCTTGTGTCTCTTTTGCCCCTTGGCTCACCATGTGATTGTTCCTTCACACATAAGCCATCAGTGCCAGCCTCCAATAGATCCCAGACTAATGGGGCTGCATGATCTTGGACTGGGATCCTCCACACTATAAGCTAAAATAAGTGTTATTCCCTCCAAAAAGCTGACTAGTACAGTGTGACAGACACACTGAAGTACAGCAACTGAGACTTTGTGCATGGCTTCATCAAATATTGAAGGGCAGTTGCTCCTTAGGCTGTCTCTGTACCACCTTGTGCCATGTTTGCACATCGGTGAATAAGATGTGTGTTCCCCACTCTGGGGAATTCTTTCCATGGACTAGACCATAA